GTATAGGATGCAAGCAGATTTTGACATCAAATTTTGGGGTAAAAAATGCGTCTTATACACTGAAAAATATGGTAATTGCCGTTTAAAAATTTAAAATGGATGTATAATTCATGACTGAACAGCTACTGCAGGCCCTTTACAAAAATGTGGCATGTGGCAGCATGAGATAGTGTTTTACATACCCATTCTTGTCGAGACTGTTTTTTCACTGTGCCTGCTATTGCTGTTGCTGCCACTACCATGACTACTTGTGGCATACAGTGAAAACACAATGGCTGGGCATGATGTTTATCCAAATTATATAGTAGCTATCTGTATCATCACTAGAGCTGGGCAATTTAATTGATTACTATTAGCAGTGATTACACTGACTGGTGCCACACTGATCAAACTTATAATTAAATCAATTAATCAAAATTAATATTTATATAGATTTTGAAGCATTGATTACTACAAATTACAATTAAATCAACTGTCACAAAAATAATCAACTAATTGAAATTAAGGTTGCCAATTATTACCATTTTCAACTATTGTTTTTGTATTTCAAGTTTGTTCAGCCTTGATAATTTGTGAAGGACTCGCGAGTCAAGGTTCTCAGGTTCAATTACTACTGCCATGATAAACCTTTGTTTGTGATGGCAAAACTACTAAGGCTATCTTTGCTACTGAAACTGCTGACTACAGTGAAGGCAACAGACTAGTAGCACTTATCATCAACTTTTTTTCTTCATCTTGAACTGCTGACTAAAGGGAAGGCAACTGGGTAGCAGCAGGTTTTTTTCGTTTTTTAGACAAGTTGGGCTACCTGCTATGTCCACCAGGGAGAATCAAACCTCAAATTTTAGCATGGTAAGTCTATAGACTTACTTCTGTCCTACCATGGAACAGCAGCACCTGCTGCCCACTGTTATTTGTTTTGCACTTACCATGATTTGAAGAACACTGTAATAATTGGTTAATAAAGTCACTGATTAATCAATTAACATATGCCACCAATTAACCAGATCTGATTATGATTACATGAGCTTCTACTCTTTAACCCAATGTGAAAAGGTCAGTTCATTGGAGCAATGCCATAATTAGAGAATTAATGTTTACTATACATATCTTCACAAAATTTGGCAAGCTTTTAATAAACATGGAAAGTATGTTGTACATAAAAAATTAGAATTTTTAATGAAGATTATTTTGTGGATTTACTGAGTCATTTGACTCAGATTCTCACTAGTTTGAGTGCAAGTTGATTTGAATATTAAGAAAAAAAAATTTTTTCATCTTACAATTTTCATGTTTAATTTGCATAGCCTTTAGAAACTCTTAAAATGATAATTTTTTTTTTGTCAAACCTTATAAGTTATCTACTAATTTGTTTACCCCAACACTAACTGTAGTGAAATCATCAATCAATGTACAGTGAAATAAAAAATTGAAAAATATGGAATAAAATGAACTTTTTTTTTTTATCTTCTTTTGATGCATAGTTTCTCTTGTTTCATGTAGTTCTTTAAAGTTTCAATTGTTAACCTTTTCACATCTATTTTCTGTAAATTTATGGTTTTCTTGTTGTAAACACCATAAACAAAGTATATGAACTGGCAATATCTTTGGAAGCACAAACCATAATCGGATATGTCACTTTTTATACCAAGTTAGTCATCCAAATTAAAATTCTTTAAACTTTCATATATATATGTTTTGTATTTTAAAATTCAAGATGAGAATAAAATAGCTTTAAAGAACTACAATTTATTTGATTTCTAATTAAGCACTAAATAGGTTAAAACAAATTATCTATATAAATAATACACTTGTGTTTGTCTTTCCTGAACTTTCTCACAAACTTCTTAATCAAATGCTACAAATCTCATCATTAGAAAGGTCTTTGTCAGAGGAGTCTGGATTGCATATTGACTTTTCCATTCAGAATCATATGACACGGTTTTTTTTTTTTATTCAAAGTCTTTAATGCAATGATTATGCTACATGATGGCACAATGTCTTAGTCATCGTGTGATGTCTGGCTTTGATTTCAACTTTATATTTTTCATTTGCAAGGTATTTCACACATACAACAATTAAACCAAGTGTAATTTCCTGAAAAAAAAATTACACTAAACACAATTGCTACGGGCTTTCTTGACATACTGAGGTCCAAAATGCACATGCACAATTCATTAAAAACCATATGATTATCACACTGTGAACACACATTCAAACGTTTTTGCAAATTCAGCTAAGTTTGCCTTCATTACAACTTTACATTTACTTTACAATAATTTAGCTTCAGTTCCTTTCATAGACTGCTATAAACACCTTTTCTCTCCTTTTTTCTTTACTATAGATTTTATTCTTCATTTTGTTCAGTTTCTTTATTTGAACTTGTAAAACCGTGTCATACACTGAACACTTATAACTGTTTCATACTCTGTACACTATTATAAATACCATTACTATAGTTCATTGTATATTTCACTTGTAGTTTTATCAAACAAAGTTAATTATGCATAGTTTTATTAAATAAAGTTACATCTACATGAGTTTATTTGTTTGACCACATAAAATGTTTTACAATAAGATCAGGATTTGTTGATCTAACACATAATGCCTGCAAGAAAGTGTAGCTTAAATGCCATACTTGAAGATGATAGAATACGCAAAATTCAAGTGAAAGGCATAAAAACTATTGCAAATCTTTTGCAGGTCATGGCTAGTTGAAAATAAACTTGTCATTTTTTTCCACATATAACGAAACCTTTCCAGTTCAAATTCTACCTAACTTTATACATAAACATTTTAAAATGTTAATTCTGGGTTGATTTAAAGGTGCTCCCAAAAAATCGTGAGTGTTTGTGCCTTTCTCTGAATTATTTTCTAAGCATAATTCCACTCTCAGGAGGAAAGTTATGATAAATTTGAACAAAACTGTGATATATTTGTCCTTTTTACTTGAATACAAGTGTAGTTTATCAATTCTCATCCAATCACCAATTCTCAATCACAGTTGTCATAGTGTGATATTATTGCCTGTACCTCAGCTTCTAGTAGTCATAGGGTAATGATCTAAACAGAACCTTGGTAGAATAGATAAAGTAGGTCTGAGAATGATAATGGACTGCAACTGTCTGTTGAAAGAAAAGGAGACAATGTAACTACACTTTGGCATCATAAATGGAATTTTACTTACGCTGTTGGACAGATATACTTAATTTGAGGATTCTTGATAGAGGCCAGTGCTGCTGCCCACCCATGACTGGAAGAAATAGAAAACCAGACATGCCATGGAGTACAAATATGCATAACATTTTAATCAAGTCAAAGATTAAAATTAATTAACAATTTCTCAATCAAATACACCCAAAAAAGTATTTAAAGAAAGTTTTATTTCTTTTCACTATGATGAACATGATACTTTGACTATATGATGTACGTAATTCAAGAAATAGTGTTTAAATCATTTTTGTTTTGGCCTTTAATATCAAATATTGCACTTCCAAGTTCCTTCAAGCCTGATTTTTGAATATTTGTATATGAAAATCTAAACATTTCAACAAAAAATACACAAGCTTTATACATGTATTAAAAATATCTACATTTATAATGTTAACATATACAGTTTAGTTGAGGCTTTAATTTCAATAATTATTTCTAACATTGTTTTTGTTTCTGTAAAGTTAAGGTTTTTTGTTTTATTTGATCCCCTAAAATATCTAAATATTGAAATACAACACTATTGAAATGCATTAACTTTTGCTTGGCTTTAATGACTTTTGATTCTGTGGATAAGGCAAATACACTGAACTGTATCAAAATTAATTTTTTTAACTCACTTATTGACATAAAACAGATAATTTTGGGAAGAAAATAAATTTAACACAAATATATATAACAGCAAACTGAAAAAAAACAATCTGAGTACCAAGATGAGCATTTCTGATTCAATCTCCATTGAAATTAATTGATTTAACTGGAAAAGTATTTGTAAAGGATTAAAAATTGTGATTTCTTTATAACTTGGTCAATAAAAATATTAAGATTAACTAACTAGCGCTAATGACAAGTTCATTAAAAGCAGCTTTATAAGTTTAACATTAGATTGATCAATCTAAAATTGTATTTACAGTGTTGTGAAAAAAGTTTTTCTTTTTAATTTTCATTACCATACTTATAATTTCATACATCTAAAATAGAAGTTAAAAAGTGGAGCACATCTACAAAGTTTTAATAAAAAGCATATTAATAGAGCACAATTTTACTCAATGTCATTTAACCACTCAAAGCATATTAACAACCTGACTCTTTTAACCTCTCACTTAAACAAGCAATCAAACTTATACAGCCCAATGAATCCATACATCAATTGAGCAAGGCCTACAATTGAATTTAAATCAACAACAAACATCACATTATTAGGTAAACTATTTTGTAAGGTAATAATAATAGATACATAAGAAATAACTTTACTAAAGAACAACTTTGGAACTGGACTTTCAAAGTGTGTACTTATTACTACTAATATTCTTTTTTCTGATGAGCCAAGATATTCTTTATTTTCTAAGTCTTTCGAGCATATGTATTAAAACTTTCTTTCTTACAATTTTACATTTCAACAGTTATTGTTTTATCACCTTATTAAGTAAGTTCCACATCTGACTGTGGTATCATTTAAAATTACAATGTCTATCATTTTAACTTGAAGTTTTATCAAAGATTTCATAACATGTTGAGTAATATCACACTACAACTTTATACATATTATAAAAAAAATTCATTTTCTCTAATTTTATTTACAATACCACTGTATTTTGTTAAATCAGTTAACTCAAAGGATTACTACTGAAATAATATAAACACACACACACATTTGTTTTTCACACACACAAAAAATTCATTCAGTTTCAATAACTTTTCATTGAGAAATAATAACATAAATCTTTTAATATTGTACAGTAAAACTTAATTTCACAGCCACCTGTACTATTCCAAATTTTTGTATTTTTAAAATCACAATACTTGAGATAGAAGAAAAAACAATGACATGTATTTCTGACAAAAACTTTTTACATAACACTTGGTATACAAATCTGTGGTTATTTTAAGGCAACAAAATATGTGTCACACAAAATTTAATGTCTGTGTGCTCTTACTGTAAGAACAAGTTCTGGATGTTGTTTGATAATTTTTACCCTTGATGCACAAAATATATATAATACTGTTTAAAAGTGTGCTTTCATTAAAAGCTATACACTGCACAAGTTACTTGAAGTTAGATGTTTGAGTTTTAAATGATTACATCAAAATCAAAAATTAACTGAATTACATTTAAAATTGCACATACATTGTAAACATACCTTTTGGATTTTGTTTTTCACAAAAAAAAACATAAGGTTTGAAAAAAAAAGATGCAGAATGCAGTTTCTTTATACTGAGAAATGTGTATAACAGTAAAATCATATCACTTTCAGGATGCATGTAGTTTACAAATATGGGTCACCACAAATAGCATTCAACAGTATTAGTGTGGATAAGGTTTTTTTATTAAAAAGAAACTTACCCTGTATCACCTAAGCCATGTAGAAAAATCACCTGGAAGAACAGATTTTGATATTTAAAAATTATAGAAACAAATACTACAGACACAGTTATGTGGCATTAACTTTTAAACAGCAAAACAAATTAATCTTTAAAATTTTACAAAGATACAACAAATTTAAAAATTCACAATCCACTTAGTTATCACAATTACCACTTTTACTATGAATAAGAAAACTCCATATGGTAGTGTTGTCTGAAAGCTGGCAATCTCTATGAAAACCTTTATGAATTTCAGACTACAATACTGTGGTTACCATTAAACATCGTATTAGGTCGTCAAGAAATTAATGTCACGTTCTGGAACACTATCATTAACCACCCAAAAAAATCACATATAATAGTTAAATGAACTGCCTAAATGTCACGTTAGTGTAGCCTGTATAATGTGTAAAGTTTAGTATACTCTAATCCCTTATAGTAATGGCACACAACAAGACACACATATGGCATGTAATGCTGTTTAAATACAAGAAAGGAAACAATGCCTCTGTAGCCACAAAGAATATCAAAGAAGTTTATGGAAATGTTTTGAATGTTTGTAAGTGTCAATGATGGTTCAGCAAATTTCATTCAGGTGACGTTAGCCTTAAAAACTGTGATGGCAGGGGCCGACACGTTGGAATTGATATTGATGCTCTGAAGATGCTTGTTGAGTCTAACCCAAGGCAACACACTCGTGAAATAGCCCTGAAATTGTATGTCTCTCATGAAACAATAGATAAACATCTAAGGAATATGGAAAAACTCCATAAAGAAGGTGTTTGGGTGCCTCACGAACTCTCTGATGATCATCATTTCTAACGTGTAAATATTGTCTCGTTTCTTCTGGAGCATAATGCGTGTGAACCATTTTTGGACAGAATTGTCACTGGGGATGAAAAATGGATTCTCTATGTGAATATTTAATGCCAAAATCAATGGCTCAGTCCTAGACAAAAACTACTTCTGACCCCAAAACCTTGACTCCATTTGCAGAAAGTGATGCTTTGCATTTGGTGGAACATCAAATGAGTAATTCATTTTGAACTCCTCAATCCATGGTGAACTGTCAATGCAGAGATCTACAGTCAGCAATTGGAAAATTTAAATCACGCACTTCATCAGAAATGCCCTTCACTTGTCAATCGGAAAGGTGTTCTTCTCCACGACAATATACGTCTACATGTGGCACGTTTGATGCAACGCATGATTATGGAGTTGGGTTGGGAAGTTCTCCCCTACCCACCATATTCTTCAGATATGGCACCATCAGATTACCATCTTTTTTGTTCACTACAACACCATCTTAATGGGAAAACATATGTAAATGTGGAAGGTGTTAGACAGGACATCGACATGTTTTTTGCTTCAAAGCCAACTGATTTCTTTAATCAGGACATTAACAACCTGATTATAAGATGGAAAAGCAATATTGATAAGAATAGAGGCTAATTCATTTAATAAATGTTTTGTTTTGATATACAGGTTGTTTGGGTTTTCTTGACGACCTAATAACAATCTTTCTTTTGAATGATCAATTGAAAAACAAACAAAAAATATAATTTTGAATAAAGATACTGATATAGGATCATGATGCAGGTGGTATATAACAGTGTAATAAGTAAGCAACTTTCAAGTGTACAGAATAACATGAATAATACAAGTTACATCTATTTAACTTTCATAGTGAAAAAAAAAATTATCAACGATAAAGATTTTTTAATATGTAGTCCATATTTCACTGACTTCATTTCTGTCAGAATCTTTATTTATACATTTCACATTATAGTTAATGTCAGTGAAAAATTACTTGATAATAAATAATGAAGCAAATTAACAATTAAGTAGCGAGACCTTACACAAAATATTTCACGTATGTGTTAGCATACAGGATGTGCCATAGAAAATTCCCCTCTCAATAAAAACATGATAAGGATACTTTTTCTTATTTCTTGTGACTTTTTTCATGTGGAGATATTTACCTAATTAAATGTAAACACTTTGAACATATGTAATATTAGATTGATTCAATGATCATTCACATATAGCTTAATTATTATAAAAAGATTAGTCATGCTACTTAGTTTTATCTTCATTATTGGAGGGTCCACTATGGCCCACCCTACATAATATATATGTATGTAACACTCATCCAGAATCTAGTTCTATGCACATTGTAGTTCTACTAAAGAATATACTGTTTCAGTTCCTGTTATTGAAGAGGATATTGTAAAAAGTTATTCATACATATGCACATGAGAACTGGTGGTCATAACCTTATCACCTTTATGTTTTAACTAAAACTAGTTATATAATTAAGAGATGTGACCCTTACTTTAGAGAAAGCTTACTTCCAGAAACTGCAGTCATTTGTGAAAGAAGTATTAAGTGGCTAATCTAAATAGGAAGAATGTTAATGAAACTTGGGATGAGAAAATATAAGGTCTCTCTCTCAAGGCTTGTTTTAGGGCCTTTGTTGTTTATTATTTAAGCTAATGATGTGGATAGTTTTTTGGACATTAGTATATCTAAATTTGCTAATGACACTAAAATACAAGGAAGAACTACTTTTGTTGAGAATTCTTCTGTTATCCAAAAAGAATCTTGACAGTCTCAGTGTATCGAAGAGCTTTAATAATGAGAAGTTTTACAGTTACATGCACAAATTTAAAAAAGTCTTAATTCTTGCGAAAGATGAAGAATAATTTTGTATTAAAGAAAAAGAATTTCAGAAGTTTCATTGTTAATAACATATTAAAGCTCTATTGAGTGTTTAGTTCTGGATTATATTCCCCTTACTGCCAAAAAGGATTTTGAGAAGTTAAATAAAACACAAATATTGACTGTTATAATTAATTCTGGCTTAAATCTTTTAGACTATGAGAAGAAGCTTAGTGGTTTGAACTTGTTTCCCTTGGAGTACAAAAGAATTTAGAAGGAGTCTTTATCAGTTATTCATGCTTGTTAAAACATTTGATAGTCAGACCTACCTTGAGTTATCTTCTGGGTGATCGAATGAAAAGGTTTTGAAAATACAGATTTGAAAATTTTGGGTTATAAGCTTACATTAATGAAATCTAAAAGTAGACTTGTTCTTAGACAAACACTGTTTTTAGGTTAGAGTTATGAAATGGTTTGCCAGGTAAATTGGTTTATGGTGTTACTGTTGGTTTTGAATTATTTAAAAATTATGTTATATAGGTACATGTACAATGTATGTATGGATGTTAAAGGATATATTTAAGTTGCTTTAACAAATTAAATATACATGTTTTACTACTAATTTTTTATTTTTATTTTTGGATGATAAGGTGACTTCCAATTGTCTACTGTCACCTTGCTATTTAAATTCTATTACATTATTATTGTACTACTGTGAGGTTTCTAGACCAGCTTATGTTGTAAAAATAATTAAAACAGATTTAGTCAATGCAATTTTGCATGAATATTTATATAAACTGTAAAATCTATGATAATTTATAATTTTACTTAAGTAATGAGCTTTTAGCATTACTGAAATTGTATAAACAAATGTCAAACTGGTTCAAAGAATTAACAAGGAATTCACTGTCCTAAGAATCTTTTTTTCAGTATAATTTTAAACAAGTCAAAGTTTAAGATGTTTTAGGCCTAATAAAGTAGTACGTATAGTTGTACTAATAATGGCTGGAGACGGCTTGAATGGGTAATGAAGAAAAACTTTAATATAAGT